GAGCTATCAGGAGAAGAGGCCACGGTATCACAGGGGATGCACCAACTGGGCATCTGAGCCTCCTCCCTCATTCCTACGGGAGGGGCTCTCAGGAAGCTGTAGTGACATCGTAGCACTTGGAAAGATTTTGGAAAGTTGTGATGTTTCTGAGATTGGAGAGGCAAATAAAAACACGACAGATTGTTATTGAAGCATCAAATGCAAATTGTCAACACGAACATATTTCCGGACTTAACAGTTGAACGTGTGAATTAATTATGGACCTATTAAGCAGCAGAATTATTCTTGATTTCAGATGACTGAAACAGCCCTGCTGCCCAACCCTTTTACTCTGGGAAGAGGATTCCATGGGCTGCTCTTTTACTTTTTTTTGGGGGGGGAGGGGTGGGGCTGGTAGAAAGGCAAGAAACTAGCACAAACTTGGCTTCCAGAAATCATTTTGATTTTCATAATGTGCCCCCAGCTTCTTGGTTAGGATTAGATTCCCTCAAACTTGCCCACCCAGTTGCTCCGGAGACTGAGGCAAGAGAATTGCAAGTTCAAGGTCAGCTTGGGCAATTTAGGAAGACTCTGTGTCATTTTTTATTTAAAAAATAAAGAGGACCAGGGATGTAGCTCAGTGGTAGAGCACCCGGGGTTCAATCCCCAATAACTGCAAAAAAAAAAAAAAAAAAGTTTCTACTGATGTTGTGAGTCCTTAAAGTTGAGGTTGCTGGTCCACCTTGGCCCATTTTATCTTCCCACAGCTCTGGATTCTGTGGTCTGTTTGGCCTGCATAGGGCTATAGTGAGCCACCCTTCACCGTACATGAGCCTCCAAAACCCTTTGAGTGAGGTTGCAATGAAGTATTTCTAATAAAGAGAAGCTTCCTTAAAGAAGAAGAGAAAAAAAAATAAATAAAAAACCTCTCAGTCATAGCCTGAATGAAGGCTTCGACTCTCCCAGCAGGTGCCTTTAAAATCCGTTTTAGTAAGAAAAAAAGGTTTAACATCTCACTATCAAACATTTTGGGGCTTCTGTCTGCAGCATCAGGACCCGAATCTGGTTTCAGATGTCTGTCTGGGCTTCCTCCTCCCAGGGGGCAGTCCCTCCCTCTCCTGACCGTCATCCCACCTGGCCAGCACTGCTGAGGTTCAAATGGCTTTTGTGTGACTTGTGCAATCTCTGCTTCTCTACTTGGAGACTTGGAAAACTTTGGGATGGCAGAGGTGCTGCTCAGCTAAAACCAACAGAGAAGAGAAAAGGCAGTGAGAAGGTGCCCTTGCCCTGATCCTACCTGTCCTAGTGTCCCGTGGTCAGTGGGCACCACAGCGAGGGTGCAGGGTAGACATTTAGTTGGCATGTCAGCATCTCTGTGCTGTTTCTTAAAATACTGATATTTCCCGCCCACTGGCCCGGGGGTTTGTACCCTGAGTGCTGCCTGCAGGTCTCCCCCGGAGCCTGGGTCCTAGACCCACCACCTACAGGTTAACTCCCAGTCCACTGGGGTTACCCCAAGATAGCCTGGGATGATCCAGTGCCAGTTAAGACATCCGCATATCAACCGTGTTCCTTACCAGACATTTTATGGTAATTCTCCTCCCACTCCCATTGCAAGCATGACCAAGTTCTAGGCACGGGCTACTGCCTCCTTTTTAAGCCAGCTTCTCCCTCTCTTTAAAATTGTTGACACATAATAATTGTACCAATTTATAGGTTACAAGGTGATGTTTCCATACACGCATGCATACACTATCTGGTAATGATCCAATCAGGGTGATTAGCATATTCATCACTTTAAATGTTTACTATTTATTTTCTGAGGTACCATTTAAATTCCTCTCGTCTAGTTATTTCTGAGCACACACTAGGCATTTTTCACTGGTGTTAAGCTGGTCCTCGCCCAGTCTCCTTTCTGCAGAAGAAGACAGTTGGGACATTCCCGTAGGAAGTCACTCCTGTTTTTCCCTTTGCACTTTTACTCTGTTTACGTGTTCCTCAGTGCTGCCTGGTTGTCCCTGGCATTCTGGAGCTGCTGGGACAACAGAGTGTGGCATGCACAGCGGTGACAGCAGCCCTTGCACCTCTGCCAGCCCCTGCCCATCTTCCTGGGGCACCTGTGTGTGCTGGGGTCTCCCTTGTCCACCCTGTTGCAGGGCAGAGGCTGAGAACATGTTTTTCTGAGGACCCTGGTTTCAGTATAAGGCCGTTAGGGAAGTTTCTGTCAGTCCCTTGTTCCCAGCCTGGTGGCGTCTGTGAAGTAATGAGCTGAAAACGGACACCTGTCCATCAAACCCTTGGTGTCCAATGCCTATGAGCCCTTGTTGGCCTTCAACACGACTATTTTGCAGAATGGCTGGGATTTTGGCAAGGGAGGTGTTTGCGGAAAAGGTTCCTTGCCCCAGCTCCATCTTCCAGGGTTAATGCCTTTGTTTATTTAAAGATACATTTTCATTTTTCCAAAGGTGAGCATCCCCTCTCTGGATCAGAGGTGGGTCCAGGGTCCTTGGTGGACAAGGGTCTGTTCTGGGAATGGAAAGAGGTAGGATGGTTCTGCTTCGGGAGAGCTGGTATTCTCTGTGTGGATGATCTTGATACCCCGCTGAAGTTAACAAGACGTCGAGCTCTGCTAGAAGCTTCCAGCTAAATGACTCATTTTATTCATCAGGAAGTTGAGGTTCAGAGAGGGACAGATACTTGCCCAAGGTCATACAGCTGACCAGAGGCTGGGATGGCAGTTCCACCTTCATACCCATGTTCTCTCTCTCTTATCTCCTTCATTATATACTGCGTGCGGTTCACATGCCTGATTTCAGTCATTCACTTAACCAGGGTCCTAAGTGGGCCTGGTGAGTGAAGGTTTCCAAGGGATCCTGTGGTCCACGTGCGTCCTGTCCCCCTGCCCTAGGATTTGGACCATCAGGGAAGTTTGCTCTGTGGGAACCTTGGAGTTGGGACTTGGGGAGCCCGGGGACTCAGACCCAGGGGCAGGACTACTCTGAAACCCGCCATACCCTCCACAGCAGGAAAGAGCAGTGGACGGTTGTGGGCACCCGAGTCCATGGGTCCAGGGAGGCAGCCTCCAAGGTCAAAGCCAAAACCCTTAATGCCCATTCCACTTCCCCGGGTTTGCTGGCTTGGCACAGCCGTCTGTGGAGGGCGTGGGGACCCAGGAACGGGGATGCAGATGCTTCCTAGTGTCTGGTGGTTGGACGTGGCGGAGCAGCACAGAGCTCTGGATCTCGCGGGAGGGAGAACACAGACTGAAGGAGCAGAGGGCGGGCTTTGAGCTGGGAAAGGAGGCGGGGGAGCAAGGACTTGAGCGCCTGCGGCTGCGCATCCCTGCAAGGAGCTGAGCTCTGGGACGAGCCGCCTGGGCCCCTTTTTTGGAGCTCCCCAAACGGCAGAGTGGTAACACATGGGTCCCCTGCAGGTGCGGCTGGCCGCCTGGATGGGAATGGCCCAGTGTGGGGCCATGGGGCCATGAGGAGCTCTGCTTCATCTGTTGGTGCTTCATCAAGATCTCACTGAGGGTGGCCTAGGCAGACAGCCCCCGGGGACACTGGGCTCCTGTGTCCCATGTGGTGTACACTCTGTCCCCAGTGGCCATGCAGATGGATGACTGGCAGTGGCCATTGGTGCTTGGTGAGGTCTGCATGGAGGGCTGGTGGCCGGGGACCTGGGCGCCCAGTCCACGGGCTGCCATCGCGGCCTGTTTCCCGCCTGCCTACGTGTGTTCTGTGACCTGCTTTTCAACGTTCACCCATTGCCCAAAGCTGCGTCCTCGCAGCTCGCATAGAGAAAACCCCAGGGCCTTTGTCTCTGGTGGGCTCCTTGCTGTCAAAAGCTCCTGCCTGCATCAGGACCCCAGCTTTGGAGGTTTCTGGTACTCCTGCCCCCTTGCCCACCCCCAGGGCTCTCTCAGCCCTGCCTCTGCTGGCCGCAGCGGGACAACTTGCAGGATGAGGAAGGAGGGAGGCTGCGTGCTTTCTTACACCTTGGTGTACATTGTTGGGCCATGAGTCCGCTCTCTTGATGTAGAATGGCAAAGGGAGGGCCTGTGTTAGGATTAGTAAGAATTTAAAGATAGTAACAGCATAGAATTCAACCACAGGTGAGGGCCTTCTGATTTTGGGCACCTGTGTGGCTGCAGAGGTCACGTGCCCATGAAGCCTGTGTTATATGGAGGCAAGATACTTTGATTGGCAGGAAACTCACAGGACTCAGAGCAGCCGCATAAGGTTGGGCAGGTTGTACACTGCTCACCACTAGGGGACATCATTCACATTGCGCTCTACATGGTGGCCCTGCCAGAGGTCCTTCCAGGCAGACAGTGGTAGTGCTCTTGAACTTCGGCGATGGGCTGGGGTCCTCTCGGCCTCCGCCTTCGTCCTCCCTTTCTCCTTGGCATTTCAGGGCTGCGTTTCTCCGCGAAGCCGAGGTGCCCGGGCACCACGCGGCGGCTGCTGGGGAAGCTTCCGCTGCTCTGCGCTGCTCGCCCGCCGGCGGCTCTGCTGTAACCTTTGGGGTTTGCTCACAAAATAGAAACTCTCTTTGTAGGTCAGTTTGTCAGTAATTTTGGCAGCCGCGGGGCCACCGAGGGAATGAGGCTTGGTTCCCACTCGTCTCGCTGCTCGGTTTGGAGACTTTTGGAGCCCCTCCCCGGGAGGCGCGCTCACCCCTGCCGGAAACGAGAGCCGCTTTTCTCTGACCTGGTTTTGAATCTGCAGGAGCGATTCCCGATTCCTGTGCCGGAGCTGCACCAGGCTGCACGGGAATTTGGTCCACACCCGGCCTGTGGCCCTGGACCTGCCCAAGAGGCCTCTTCCTGGGCCCCTTTTCCTGGCCTGTGACGCTTGGGTAGGGCTGCTGGTTTGCACCTGCTCCCGTGCTAGGTGGCCCTCACTGTCCAGCCCGCTGTGCACGCCCCACCTGCACCGTGGCCCGGGCAGCACCTCCTGACCTCCCCCTCAGGCAGCCTGAGCGCCCTGCTGGGGGCATCCTCCACTGTGGTACCCACCTGTGCCCATGGCTGCACTCCAAGCTGGAGAGGAGGAGGCAAGAGGAGCCGGGCCTCATCAGCCAGAGGCGCTGGGTGATGTGCATCCGGGTAGGATTGGTTGTCAAGGAGAAGGGCATTCTGGGAGTGGCCTGGAGCAGTCAGGGGGCCCTCCTGGCAGAGGCAGTGATGAGCTGGAGGCCCCCCTCCTCCTTTGGTTATTTTGGGGCCTCTAGAGAGTGAGGTGGAGAAGAGGGCATCTCTGGTCCAGGACAGGAAGCGGGAAGAACCCTGGCTGGGGTAGCGTTATGATTTGAAAATTGAATCCCATCCAAACAATATTTGAGCACCAACTGTATGTAAGACCCGATTCTAGGACGTGAGTTGATTCAGATCTGGACCAAGACTCCCGAGCAAAAGCTGAGGTTTATATGAGGATTCTAGTGCCACTGAGAGGAGGGTGAGTGCCAGGGAGGGAGAGAGGACTAGGGACCTGGGATGTGGGGTCCCTCTGCGGAGGCTACCTTTGGTTCCTCTGCCCTGCTTCTGCCTCCCGGGAGGCAGACTGGGGGGATGCCGTCCGGCTGCCACTGGGTTCCCGAGCACTGCCTTTAGGTCCTGAGGCCCGAGGCTGGACCCCATGCCAGCTTGGACCAAGGGCAGCCTGGAGCCGGCCCCTGCCTGCTTGCAGCTGCCCTGGGCAGAGCTCTGTGCTGTCGATGACACCTGTTGACAGGGTGGTGTTGCCTTCCACGGGAGTGGACTGCCTCCTGGACAGCAGCCTTTCTCCCCCATGTGCTTTGTGACCTTGAGCAGGTCATCCCCTTCTAGGATCCAGCTCTAACCGTAGCGTCCTGAGCTCAGTACATGAGCATCACTCAGTGGGAACAGGTTTCTTTCCGGCAGACTGTCCAGCTTTGATGGGACAGTGGCCGTGGTAATGGCCATGACAGACACACAGCACCTGCATGCCAGGCTCTGTGCTGAGTGCTTAATTCTCACGTCAGACCCCAGAGGGAGGCCCCCATCGCCTTTCTTCATGGATGGGAATGGAGGACCACGGAGGCCAGGTCACCTGGGAAGGTCTTGGGCTTCCACTTGGGCCGGCCTGTGCCCAAGCACCATGTCACATGTCCTGTGTAGCGTGGGGCCCTGGTGTGGGGGGCATCTGTGGAGAGGTGCAGAGTCCCCTGGACACACTTATAGTCCTTTACCATCACCTTGTGGGGGCCCTTCTGGACCCTTGGATGCCTGAGCGCACCTCAGACAAGGATTTGCCCCCGTCTCCGAATCCCCACCCGTGTGGATTCCTGTGGAGCTACACAGGGTCACGTCCCCATTTTTCTTCTTTATTTTTAAAAACACCCTATCAGAGAAATCCACCCATGATGTGCCCACCCGGAACCCCCTCGCGAGGGCAAGTGAGTGTCGGGGGAAATTCGTGACATGAAGTTTGGAGGGCGCCAGGCCGGCGGAGCCCCTCTGAGCCAGGGTGATTTATTTCGGCCACGCGTGGTCATTAGTATCTCTGGTGGCGGAGCCTGAGCACCAGGGCTGGGCAGTGGCCGGGGAGCCTGCGGGGCCATTACGTGCTAATGGCTCAGTGTGGGCTCAGCGTGGGCAAGGAGGCCGGCCGTCCATCTCGCCGCTGGCTGGTCATAAACGTCAGCTGGCTCCCTTCCGGCTCCCCACAAGAGGAGGGCCTCTGCTCGCGTCCCCTGCTGGGCCTGGTCTCCAAGACTGTGGGGGCCTCTCTTGTCATTTGGAAAAGAGTTTCCAGGACTTGCCCACAGATCTGTCTGTCCCAGATCCTGGAAATCGGAGGTCATTTTAAGGGCCCTTGCTGGCTTGGCTTCTGGGGACAGTTCCTGACTGGCTGCAGGGACTCATCATGTCCTAGTGGGACAGCTGCCCCAAGAGAGGGGTCTTGGCTATCTGCATAGCTTGGCACATCTGTCCCCTTGCTTTCTGTTCATGGGGACTTAACTTACATGCAGTGAAAGGTGCAGATCTTGCTGCATGGTGTGGTCCCTTTTTATGTGTGTGGCCCTGGATAAGCAAACAGCACA